GGAAACCCCAAAACATAGTGTTTCGTGATAATATAACATTAATTTGAAAATAGGGATGAATTTAATATTTAAGTTAGTGGATGCAAGGCAATTGCATCTACTCTTTTGTGACAAAGGGTGCAAATGCCATTTATATATGTGTAATAAATTTTTTAGCTACATACATTTTGAGCTGAAAGCGTGGCTGCATTATTATCAGGGAGTTGGAGCTTCGAAGTGTACATTAGTTCTTGAAAATATATTTTCCTTATGTTAATTAAAGTAAAATGGTGTTAATGCCTACTAAAATCCTAGTCTACCCTAATATTACAGTGCCACTTTATGGAATATCATGTGCGCCAAAAAATTTATGTTAGTGATTTATATGCTAAGTATATAGTGAACTTCTAGTGCTAAAAAAATTAACTTTATAATATTGGATCAAGGGGTTTAATTGATCCCGACCACCAGGTCTTAGAGAGGGATGAATAGGATCCTTCATGCTTAGATATTTCAGGTTTGAGCCATGAGAATGAAAAAAATCCTAATACAACAATAATATATCCAGTATTATCCTATACCGTAGGGTTTGAAGAGGGTAATGTGTACGTAGACCTTACCCTACTGAGGATAGAGAGGCAAAAAATCCTAATAACAAATCTTATTCGGTCCGAGTCAATATTATCGGGACCTCAAGATGGATACCTAAAATCAGTGGGAAACCAAAAGAAAATTTGATCCTAGTTTATTTGGATTGAGACATAGTAATTGTTATTGTAGAAGTTATTAATAGAATACACACTCCTGGGACCATATGCATGAGAAGAGTCACAAAAATCTTTCTTCTTATGCCCCACTAATCGTAGGCCTCATTAATTTTTCCTTCACTCTGTCCTTGTCCCCCTGCCCCAGCCTGGCAAATGGCATAAGAACTAAGAAGAGATCAGATCTGTGGCTCAATTCAGGCAAATTTAGGGATGCCTCAGCTAGCTGTACTGACAAACCCATCACCATATATTAAATGACTTTTGGCTATCAATAAATAGTTTCTCCTACCGACACATCATAATGCATTTATCTGCCCACCTTTTGCATTTATTTGGGACGTCTCTTATTTAGTTATTTTATACTTAGAATGATGGAAAAGTACTGGTTCCGTATTGACCGTATTCCTCTATCTACTGTTTATCACATTACATTAATTAACTTGACCCTAAAAGGCATGTTTGTGTCGGTCAACTTGACCCGTGAATCTTCTTGGTTTTGTTTGTTCCTATTACATAATTTCGAATACAATTTAAAAGAATCAAAATATCTTACTAAATTAATTGTTCACTGCCTGATAAATACTGATCCACTATCAAATTTCTTGGTCGCATGGAATCATGGATCATTTGTTATGATATACTAATAACAAAGATAGTGTAATTTCACAAGTAGGGTCTAGGGAGGGTAGTGTATACACAACCTATCTTGTGAGGGTAGAGAGATTGTTTCCAATACACTTTCTCAAGACAAGCATAGGCAGATCCAAGAGTTAAACTTTATGGGTTCATCGTTTAAGGTTTTTAGCATTGAACCATTATCTTTTTTTTTAAAGTTATGTGTTTATATTTACTATTTTTGCAATTTTAGTAAATTTTTACACATAAATTTATACTCCGTGTCAATAGTAATTGAACCCATCACTAGAATGCTACATCCGCCCCGAAGACAATCATAATCACAGCATCAATGAAAACAAATATGGTAGAGGAGAAGCCATGAAAAAAGCAGGATCAACAACAAGATAGTAAGATATCCGAAGCGCAAGAAACAACCGACAGTAATAAAAATCTAAGAAAAAGAAAATAGGTGAATAATATAGATACAACAGGTATGAAATAAAAAGACGCTCGACTAACATTAGGTACAATAGTGCAGTAAAATTGTTCAGATGAGTTGATTAGCCTTTAATAATTTATCTAATCTGCATTGTTATACAGGAGCATTAGGAATAGCACAGAGAGGAGGAAATTGGGTTACTTCTCATGTACAACGGGAAATCCTATTGATGACTGCTGGCGTTGTGATCGCCATTGGGTGCGTAACCGCAAACGCTTAGCTGACTGTTCTATTGGCTTTGGTCGAAATGCCATTGGTGGTCGTGATGGAAGGTATATTTAGAGACAAATCAAGAGCGGGTTCTGTACTTTCAGTTCGAGAATAAATTAAATGTGCACATATAATTAGATCATACTCATTCTGAACACACTGAATCCGTGCAGGTATTATGTTGTGACTGACTCAGGTGATGACGATCCAGTAAATCCCCGACCTGGAACACTTCGTCATGCAGTAATTCAAGACGCACCATTATGGATAGTGTTTAAACATGATATGGTCATCACACTTAAGCAAGAACTTATGATGAACAGTTTCAAGACAATTGATGCTCGTGGTGTGAATGTACAAATTGCATATGGGGCTTGTATTACTATCCAATTTGTTACTAATATTATTATTCATGGTCTTCATATTCATGACTGTAAACCCACTGGTAATGCCATGGTCCGAAACTCACCATCACACTATGGTTGGAGGACAATGGCTGATGGTGATGGCATTTCCATTTTCGGTTCGAGCCATATTTGGATTGACCACAACTCTCTTTCTAATTGTGCTGATGGTCTCATTGATGCTATCATGGGTTCAACTGCAATTACCATTTCAAACAATTACTTTACACATCACAATGAGGTCCATTTTTTCCAAGCATAATCTTTTTACTGCATTATAATGAGTTATACTTTAGTTCAAAGATTAATTATTCATAAATCCAACTTATGTGCAGGTGATTTTATTGGGGCACAGCGACTCCTATATTAGAGATAAGGTTATGCAAGTGACGATTGCCTTCAACCATTTTGGTGAGGGTCTGATCCAGAGAATGCCAAGGTATCAATATGAAAACATTAGTCTTTGTTTTTTCAACTCATCTAATTTAGTGAATGCACTTGTCTTCGCCACAATATTGGACCGAGATGTCCTTACATAAAGTGACATAGAAAGTAAGGATTCATATAACCAACTCCGTACTTGCTTGAAATTTAGGCTTACTTGTTATTGTTGTACTGATCTTTGCCTGTCGTCTTGGACTAAAAATTGTACGACATTAATTAATATGCAGATGTAGGCATGGTTATTTCCATGTGGTGAACAATGACTATACACACTGGGAAATGTATGCCATTGGTGGTAGTGCTGATCCTACAATTAACAGCCAGGGCAACAGATACCTTGCCCCAGTGAACCCTTTTGCCAAAGAGGTAATTAGTTGAAAACTATTTAGAACTAAGCATACTTTGACTGATGAGCTTTTATTGAAAATATCTCAAAATGAAAAGTATAAGGAGGGCCAGACTTTACCTTACGAAATTATTGATAACAGGTGACGAAAAGAGTGGAACCATGGGAAGGATCATGGAAGCACTGGAACTGGAGATCAGAAGGAGACCTTATGCTGAATGGAGCATACTTTACTGCGTCTGGACGTGCCGCTCCACGCAGTTATGCAAGAGCCTCAAGCTTAGCTGCTAAGTCCTCTTCTATGGTGGGAACTATTACCTCAAATGCTGGTGCACTTTCTTGTCACATAGGCTACCAATGTTGATGTCAAAACACATTGGACATATCTGCTGAAGAGCATTACCACATTACTTTTGCATGTCCATTGAATTCATCAATCAAGCCTATTTTCACCAATTTCTCTTTCTTTTCCTCGTTTACGTCCTCCCCTAATCACCCTTGAGCAGGGGCGGACCAGAGTATTGTGGATGGGTTCAATTCAGCCCACCATTTTCAGCTTAAAACTTAGATGTATATCCGAAAAATCTTGAAAGTTTTATATATATATATATATATATATATATATATATANAGAGAGCAGAATCTTGAACCTATTATATTAAAATCCTGAATTCGTCTCATCTCTTGAGCATGTTGTTCCACTTGTGATCTTTATGTACCAAGTGTTCAACCTTCCCCTGACTCAACTGGAAATATTATTCAAGTGCTTTGGAGCAGGTTTCTGAAAATGTTGTATTTTTCACCTCATCAATTCAAAAATCTTGCTCACCTAACGAAAATGGTTCAGTGGGACTGATCTCTCTCTTACCTCTCTTCTCAATATGTCAATTCATGTATGCATCGTATCAGATTCAGAAAGATTGCAAAAAGAAAAAGAAGGAAAAAGATCAAAGTCAAATTTTCAGTCGCTTTCTTGTTATAGATGTTCAGTTTCCAGATATTGTTGTAATTGTTATCCTTATATATATGTACTTACTATGAATTCTGCTTCAAATTCATATTCCTCGCTGCCCTTTTTCACCCTATTGTCTGCAAGTTGATTAATTATGATGGTAATTATAAATTTACAATTTTCTGATCCACTGCCCATGTTAACTATTGCTGGCATAATTGAGTTGCTGGATTTCGTAATTCAACCGTGTTGATAAGAGTTAGCACCTTATTAATCCAAGGGGTTATGCTTGCTTAATAAACAATTTGATATAATTCTTCAACTTTTATTAGCTGATCACCGTACACTTTAATTTTTTTATAACAAATTTCTCCTTTCAACTTTTCTCAAACTATAAAAGGCGATTTTAAGAAATTAATTCAGCCCGCTTTAAACTTCTTGTTCACTATTTTTGAGTACAGTTTTTTTTTATTATGAAGTTGTAAGTTTATAACCATTTGAAGATGTTTGCTACATGTGCAACTAAGAGACAAAATTAATGAAGTTCGACCATATCTGAAAATTCCATCAAATAAAAGAATCAAAATGCAGAAATGTTTCTATCACTTACATGATTAAGAAATTTCACACTATCAACTATCAAGTTAAGCTAACCTACAACGACATATAACGTATTCTCCATATCAAACTTGATATAGTAATCTGAAAAACAAAATACTAAGCTGCAACAACAATCGGTTAAATTCTGCTGATGGTACAAACATTCTTTGCCACGTCAGTATATATTAACTTAAACTAGATTACAAATGATGGTCATTACATTTGCCTAAAAACCCAGAAAATGGACTTACAACACACTCAGATTACAATTCTCTACATTAGACAGTAGTCCTGAGTAACAACTAGGAACCCCTTAAACGTGTCTACAGCACTTGGCCAAATCCAGAATCAAGGCAATGAATGAACTCTTTGCACGCGTCACGGTCATCTATAGAGTAAGTTTAATTTACAAAATGATACTAATTTGTAAATAAGATTTAAAACCAACTTCTAACCTTATTGAAAATTAATTTCTCTTATGCTGCATCAACTATCTAACTGCTTGTGCAACTGGAGAGCTAATAGAAGCAGCTGTAGATGACAAATTACGAAGGTTTTTCTTTGCTGGTTTCTTGCCTTCTGATTTTGGTCCATTCTGCCTCACTTTTATTCCTCGTATCAACTGATATATCATTCAATAATTTTCAACTTAAATGACAAGATAATTACGCGATTAAAGTAATAACAGCATAAAGCACTATAATAAAGTTATGACTTACATATTTGCCACACTTTATGTCAGCGTATATCACAATGAAATCACCTTCTTGAAGTCCATTAGCTCGAACAAAGTCGCCTTTAAGAATGAAAAAAGATACAATTAAAGCAAATTAGTACTCGGATTTTACTGAAATGCAAGCTAGAGCAGCGTCGGCTGTGTTTACCTGTGTTCTCAAGAAGGTACATCCTGCTTTTGTTATTTGGCCAAAATCTGAAAAACAAAACACAAAGCCAGTAAGTATAGAAGGAAGATGACTATAAAACATAAGGGGTAACAATCGACTGAGCAATGTAATAAAAAATAGCTTGATGAATATTATGAGTTCACATACCTATATTTCATGTTCCAAACACAAGAAGTTCCAATGTCTTCCATCGCAATTGAAATTCCATCTCTTGATTCGAGTTGTGGGAGATGAGTTTCTGCTTCTCTCTGCGTATAAACAAAATTTCAAGAATCCACTTAATCATACTTTCAATTACCAAAAGTAAATAGATCACAGTTTATGACGACGTAGCTAAAGTACCTTCGGCAACACAATTCTTCCAAGATTGCCAACATCACTTTGCTTCAGCACTTTTTGTAGGAGAAATTTTAGATTCTTCTCTGTTTTGCAAGCCTATGGAAGAACATCCACGCAAAATTTGATGAACATCCGCACAAAATTTAAAGCAACACATTTATACAACAAATTTTCATAAATATTAAACTTACAATAGCCATTAGGGAAAGGATATAACTTATATTCATAGCCAGAGGCGGACCTATGCTATACCGAGAGGGGTCACCGGCACCCGTAAAGTTCAGCAAAAATTTCATGTATACATGTATATATTTTTAGAAAATAGTAATATATTAATAGTGGACACCCTACGTACAAAGCAAATTGTGGTTGAATCCAAAAGTGTACCCTTGACCTTCAAATCTTGGGTCCGCCTCTATTCACAGCAGGTGAAGGGTGAGCCAAGAGCTTTTTATAATGGATATTTGTTCAACTATATACCCCGAGCTCACCTATATCTTATTTCTGTTCTAGCTGGCGGATTCTCTCTTATATCGATTTCGTAAAGAATTTCTTCATGTAGCAAATAACCTATCTTATTTCTAAGTTATTAATTCAACCTTCTTATGGACTACTTATAGTTATATATTCGATGATTAATCATGTACACTGTTAGTTGTGAAGGGGAGCCTTGGAGCAACCGTAAAGTTGTCTCAGTGTGACCTAAAAGTTAGAGTTCGAGCCGTGAAAGCAGCTACTAAAACTTGCATTAGGATAGGCGGACTACATCACACACCTTGAGGTGCGGCCCTTCCCCGGATCCTACTTGAACGCGAGATGCCTTGTGCACTAGACTGCCCTTTTTTACTATTAGTTGCATAAAAGTTAAATTCGAAAAGGATTTTGGCCGAAACTAAAGAAACCAATTACCTGTCTTTTGTCTGCCGAACTATGCTTCTGATGGTTTTGCGATCGCAGAGCTGGCCTCTTGGTCGAATGTGATTGTGGAGAATCAGCCTGTGGAACCATCATCACTGGCGCAGCAGAAGCAGAAGGCCAATATACCCAATTTCCTGGACTGTTACCTGTATCTATTGCACAATTCTCTCTACACATAATTACACTTTGGTCATTACATTGTCTTAGATTCTGAGTTTGGTGACGATAATGGTGCAACGGTAATCGTCTCTGCCTAGCCATTCTGTTCTTCCTAGCCTCTTTAGATCCCAACCTTGCCAATCTCTCACCATTCCCATCTAAAAGTTGGTACGGATATTGCGTACCAAGTAAAGATTGAGGCTGATCAACAACAGCAACATTATTAGCACTATCACTATTGTCAGGAAATTGGTTATACTGAGAAGCAGCCGCCACAGCAAATTGCGATGGCAACCACGATTGAGTAAAGTCCATGTGTTGATATTCTGTTGAAGCCGGTGAACTTGCACTTCCACTCATTGTTTGATTAAAATGAGACGCAAATAACGATCCGTTGGAGTAAGGATCACCAATGTACCCCGGTATCTGCCCCGCCATTACTGGGGTTGAATCAGGGAAATTAGTGACGTTATAAGAAGGAGTTGCCATCCAAGGTGACGGATAAAAGCAAGCATTTGGATCAGTTCCAACTGTATTATAATGGAAATTGGAGTTAGGGGCAGAATTCTGGAAATTTTCTTGATTTGCTACAGCTTCACTCATTTGATTCTTTTGCAATCGGTGTTGTTCAACCCAATCAAGAATGAGTCTCAACAACTGTTTTTTACCTTCTTTTGTACTTCCCAATCGTTTCGAAGCGCTTTCAATTGTTGAACGTTTGAGCTTAATACTCCTCATATCTTCAGCAGAAATGTAGTCTTTGTTTTGCTTTAGCCATTCAAAGAACATAACTGCAAGCTCACTATCCCCTTGAAATATAGAAAGCTGCTCATTTTCAAACTGAACTTCCCCTTCTTGTTGTTGTTGGTTTTGGTTGTGTTTTTGTGGATTTTCGCTTTGGAAAAAAGAGCTCATAGGATCAAGAAAATCATGATTTCCATCAATTAAATCCATATATCCAAGATTTTCTATCACATTTAAAGAATCTTGGTCGCCATTAACTGTGTTATCAAATTGGATTTTTTTGTGGAAATGATCTTCTTCAGCTTGAGTAGAAGATGAAGAATCTGTAGGAGGGGAATTAGAAGTTGACGAGGAAGATGACATGCATGGAAAATCAGGAAGAGGAGGAAAATCAGTAGAGAAATTAATGTAATTAGTATCATTGACATTAAAATGATGTTGCTCTTCATTTCCATTATTGAGCCAAATATCTGTATTATCAATTGGATCAAAACCAGTTGTCTGCTGCTGCTGCTGCTGTTGGTGTTGCCTTTGAATATCATCATCTACTGTCACCATATTAATATTCTCAAATCCATGCATTTCTTGATTATTATTATAACCATAAAGCTGCTGTAACTCTCTTTTCATTCTTGTTTTCTGGATTTTTAACAAGAGAAAAATGGTCTTTAATTTCTCTCCCCACTAGGATCTTGAAGTGGTTTTTGCAACATAAACTATCTGAGGTTTTGGAATTTATATATCCAAAAAAATAAATAGTACTACCAAATCTGAAGAAAGCGACTCTTAATTACTAAACTTTAACTAATTAAAATACTCACTCTCACATCAAACGAACTGTATATATAATAAACTTATATAAGTACCTGTATATATAAGGATTTTGAATGGCAATATTCTTACATATATATATTGTTCAGGAATATTCTTTACAAATGGATGATAAACACAAGAAAGTTCAAAGAACTGAACTATGTATTCTGTTTTAGAAGACAAAAACACCACCAAACTTCAACAAACTGAAATTGTCTCATACCCAAAATAACCAAAACAACACTTGTAGACGGTTCAGATAAGTTTCAACACTCTTTTACTATTTTCTGTTTTTATTTAAGGGGTTTTGAACCCAAAATAAGACAGAAAAACTTTGAAAGAAAAAAAGAAATAAGTGGTTATAAAAACTTTTAAATGAGAGAGGAGATATATAAGAGGAAATTAAACCACCAAAAGAAAACTTGGTGCCGATAGTTTTTCTTTTTCCACTAAATTAAAATTTCCAGATTTTACGCCATAAGGCCATACGTTATAACCTAAATGGTGGGAGACAGCGGTTCAGTTTTTTACTACAAAAAATGAGGTGAAAAAAGAGACACTAAATGCTACTTCCTCCATTGATGACACTAGCAGCTCAATTCTCTTTCTAATACAACACATCAGAACATGGCCTATAATAAGGAAGGAGTTTTTGAGCACGGTAAAGTTGTTATTGTATGACTTATATTCTTGCATAAATAAAAAAAAAATATAAACTGTCTATATCTCACCTCTTTAAATATATATTTTTTTAAATTGTACATAAATACAGAATGCTTAGTATATCAGATTTTTTAGAATATAGCGTAAAAATATTAAAACATGGAAAAGATTAGACCGACTGGGAAATAGTAACGTGAAAAGAAGTAAAGAACAGATCTTTCTTTGCTCATAGGATTTGTCTCCATTCGTGAGTGAAAACGGTGGACTTCTTCTTTTGCTGCTACGTGTCTCTTCCCTTCTGACCAAGCTATATTAACATAACATATATATATATATATATATATATATATATATATATATATAACATAAACAAGGATTTTAAGTTTTAACTTGTATAATGGTGTAAAACATCAAGACAATTGCTCTTTATTATTAAAGCTGGAAGATGGAGAAAATTGCTAAGAGTGGAAAAATGGGATTTTGTCGTCGACGCTAGCAAAATAATGAGAAGGATTGGTACTCCCTCCGTTGCAGTTACCTATTTCTTATTTGTTCTTTTACAAAAAAGAATGATACTTTTTTATATTTAAAAATAATTAAATTTAAATTTTTAATTATATCCTCGATGATAAGTTTTTATAATCATATAAAATACTTTGTCCATAAATTTCAAAAGAATTATAACCATACAAATATAATACTTATTTAGAGTAACAAGTTTAAAATTTTTTTATTTTTTTCTTAAATTTCATGTCCGGTCAAATAGTTTCACATAAATTAAAATAGAGGGAATAATATATATATATATATATATATATATATATGGTGACACGAAAGGATTGAGATTGGAAATTTGAAAGAATTTAGGATTTTAATTTGATGAATTTAATTTTTTTAATTTTTAACATTAGATTCATAATTCTTTATATTCAGTAAACTCTATCAGTTTTTGTTGGGAAGAAGGTTCTTGTCCCATGCAGCGAGGGAAAATAGCTATTCATTGGTAGGTTTAGTTTGCATTCGTACACTGCACGTCTAGTCATTTTTGGCCTTAAATCCGACGAGTTATTTTTTCTAAGCTATTTAATGAGCTTGGAGCATAGTTAATTTTTTTCTAAGTCTTGAATATAATGTCGTTTTTGTTAGGAAATATTTTACTATTGCAAATTTTTTTGGCAAAAATTTAAATTTTAGTAGGGGTAAAATAAAAAAAAATTGTATGCATATTTTTTTCGTGGGTCGCTCAATTCGCTCGAATTATTCGGGAAAAGGAGAGAATAGAATTTTGATATATCAAAACGGATCTATTCCGTTGTGTACGAGGAAAAATCGGGCACATGATACACTTCGGCCTCCAACAGGGTAAAACGAGCTCGAGATATGATTGCGAAAGATCGGAATCGAAGCAAGGATATCCTCGAGTCAGAGTACGAGGGCCGACCATCGACCCTCGATAATATCAGAGTCATGATTCGAGATCTACCTAAAACCTGAAGGACTTCGGAGAGCGTCGCCGGGCAATCAAGCACGGCCAACAGGAGGCCGTAATATCCGTGACCGGCCGGATATCATGGCGTGGATCTCGGCACGTATCGATGTAGAACCGGCAATCAATTAAACAGAAGATTTTTTTACCTTTTATAGAGTTATACTTAGAGTAGGATTCCCCTGCTATATAAAGGGGGAGGGGTTTGATAAGTCATTAAGCACGTTGTAACATGCATTCCAAAGCAATATACTATTATTTTTACTATTATTCTAAGCTTTTCTTTCATTCATCAATATCGACCATTGTGAGCCCGGATCGAGGGCAAATAGTTCACTAAGGTTAAAGATATCCTCTCCGCGTGGTTTGAACTTACTGTATTTCTATTTGTTCGTTTTAATCCAATTTATCGTTTTGTATCAAATTAATCTGTGTATCCTTAAAACCACTTATAAATTTAATTGTTATCCTATTTTGAGGGCAACCAATGTCATGTGACGTTTCTAGGTACAAAGTGTATCCACTTGCAGTCAATTGCCTTTGGAATATGAAGCAAAGGCGGGATCGAAAGGTACCTCTTAAGTTCCTCCAGGGCCTGTTAGTACTCAGGGGTCCACGAGAAGTTATTCTTCTTCTTTAATAGTGAAAAGAACCGATGGCTCTTATCAAAGGACCTCGAGATGAATCGACTCAAAGTGACTATGCGCCCGGTTAACCTTTGTACGACCTTGACACTATCCACAACGATGATGTCCTCGATGGCCTTGATCTTATCGGGATTAATCTCGATTCCCTGATTGGACACCATGAACCCAAGAAATTTTCCAGACCCAACTCTGAATGCGCATTTCTCCGGGTTCAGCTTCGTGTTGTACTTCTTCAATATGTTGAAGGTTTCCTGCAAATGTTTCAAATGGTCCTCTGCTCGCAGGGATTTAACTAACATATCGTCAATGTAAACCTCTATCGATTTTCCTATTTGTTCTTCGAATATCCGATTTACTAAGCAATGGTAAGTGGCACCAGTATTTTTTTTAGTCCGAATGGCATTACATTATAACAGTAGGTACCGTATTTAGTGATTAAGGACATTTTTTCCTCGTCGTCTAGGTCAATCCAAATTTGGTTATACCCGGAGTAGGCGTCGAGAAAACTGAGGATCTCGTGATCAGCTGTTGTATCGATCATGCGATCGATGTTAGGCAGGGGGAAAGAGTCTGTGGGGCATGCCTTGTTCAAGTCTTTATAGTCTACACATATTCTTAATTTATTTCCCTTTTTAGGGACTACTACTATGTTTGCTAACCAATCTGGGTACTTAACCTCCCGGATGGACCCTATTTTAAGGAGTTTAGATACCTCGTCCTTATTGAATGCATGCTTGACTTCGGACTGAGGTCTCCTTTTCTGCTTGACCGGATGGAACTTCGGATCCAGGCTTAGCTTGTGAGTGGTTATCTCCGGCGGAATCCCTGTCATATCGAGATGGGACAAAATAATTTATGCTAGCTATAAGGAATTGAATGAGTTTTTTTCTGAGCTCGAGACTTAACCCCATGCCCAGGTGTACCTTACGATCAGGCATGTGTTCGATCAATATGACTTGCACCAGTTCTTCGACTGTTGATTTGGTGGTGTCGGAATCATCGGGGACTATGAAAGACCTAGGAACTCTGTAGTCGTCATCTTCATACATCCCCTATTTCTCCGATTCCATCGAGGCCAGTATCGGTAATTGCTATTTGGTTTCGTCTTTGGCTATCGGGTTCAGACCCTTCGATGTCGAAAGTGCGGATACCGGGATCACCTTGTCGACCGCGAACATCTCCTTTGCAGCCGGTTGCTCTCCGTAAACTGTTTTAATTCCTCCAGGCGTTGGGAATTTCAGCACCTGGTGCAATGTCGAGGGTATTGACCTCATGTTGTGAATCCATGGTCTCCCGAACAAAGCATTGTACCTCATGTCTCCTTCGATCACGCAGAACTTCATTTCCTGGATGGTCCCGGTGGTGTTCACCGGTAATGTTATCTCCCCTTTAGTGGTCTCGCATGCCATGTTGAATTCGTTTAGAACCCTGACTGTATACACGATTTGGTCTTGCAAACCCAGTTGTTCCACGACCCTTGATCTAATGATATTGGCCGAGCTACCTGGATCAATCAACACAAGCTTAACTCGAGATTTATTTATGAGTACATATATTACCAGTGCATCGTTGTAGGGCTACACGATGCCTTCAGCGTCCTCGTCGTTGAAATACAAGGTCCTTTCTGGTACATAATATCGAGTCCGTTTTTCTCTCGTCGATCACTCAGGAACTCCCGGAGATGTCCGTTGTTGAATAACCGGGCTACCTACTTGACGAGCTAAAAACACAACACAAAATTATGCTCTCTTGTCGAATATAGTATAGAAAATATCGTATCCACAGGGATTGGAGTTAAATAGTGTTTTCGTAGTTTACAGTTTTATTGCTATTCAAGATGATCAACAATTTAGATTTGTGCGAATTAAAACAAAAATTAACTAAGAATCTAGAGCTAATTGACTAATGACAATCAAACAAAAGTAGCTAGGAAGATATCAATGGGAGAAAATAGGGGTTGATTGGATAGGTGCAAGATAATTGTCTGGGAATTAACTCTAGTTACTTCACTTCTATGGTTCAAGTGAGTCTCTCGAATTCACTCTATTATGTTCAAACATTCAGTAGAAACTCCTCTCTCGATTAAGTCTCAACCTTACGATATGAACTAAGTTAAGCTTGGTGAATATATGCAAGAATTCGTAGTGGATTGATCCTTAGGAGAATCTCTTTCGATTATCCTCCTAACTAGGTCTAAACATTAATTCAACTAGCCTTTTTCGATCACTAACAAGAATCAATGAATTCAACCAATAAGATAATGCAGAACATCACAAATTATGCCTCTTTCGATTACATAAATAAGTGAATATATATTCAACAATAAAAACACCCAGAACGATTCAATACATAAAACTAGAGTTAATATCTACAAACAATTCTCAAAATATCAAATCCATCAATCCCTAAGGAAGAATTACTCAATGGATATGGAGAAATTTATCACAATTAAGTTTAAGTCAAAGAAAAACATAAAACATCCAAACCCTTGTCTTGAGTGAGGATG